GCCACAGGTTGGACATGCCTGCAGGTAAGCATAATCATTCAGCTGGGTACAGTGGTGGGCGCATGTCTGAGTGCAAACCTTGATTGTAAAGATTAGAATGCTTTCTCTATAGCACAGTTAGGGTACAGTGCTCAGTGACAACTCTTTCCTACCTTTCTAGGCACTGGATGAGTTTGCAACCAAACTAATCCAAAATAACCATTACGCGATGGAAGATGTGGCCACTCGCCGAGATGCTGTGAGTTCCCTGGGCTTAGCATACTCCTTTCCTGTAGTGTACACGTTCTCTTTCTGAGATACTTGTTGCAGTTCAGTTGACCTGGCCACATTTTGAGGAATATGAACTGTAAAATCATATCATCTGGGCTGGAGAGATGGCTCAGTGGTTAAGAGCATTGCCTGCTCTTCCAAAGGTCCTGAGTTCAATTCCCAGCAACCACACGGTGGCTCACAACCATCTGTAATGAGGTCTGGTGCCCTCTTGTGGCCTGCAGGCATACATTTGCAGACAGAATATTGTATACATAATAAATAAATTAAAAAAAAGAAAGAAAATCATATCGTCCCTGTCTTTCAGCTCCTGAGCCGCCGAAATGCCCTCCATGAGCGAGCGATGCACCGCCGGGCACAGCTGGCCGATTCCTTCCATCTACAGCAGTTCTTCCGTGATTCTGATGAGCTCAAAAGCTGGGTCAACGAGAAGATGAAAACTGCCACTGATGAAGCTTATAAAGTAATGTACAATCAATGTTGTCACATGATATTTGTAGAAGCTAAATAACCTTTCCAAAAGCTATTTGTAACTACAAAACAAAACAAAAAGAATTAAACAAAATGGGTCCTACAATCCACACTTGTTAACGTATGCTGACTGTTATTTTGGGCATGAAATTATTCTCCATACTCAAGGTCTAGACATGACCCTCTTTTTTTTTTTTTTTTTATTGACAGGATCCATCCAACCTACAAGGCAAAGTCCAAAAACATCAGGCTTTTGAGGCTGAACTTTCAGCTAACCAGAGCCGTATTGATGCTCTAGAGAAAGCTGGGCAAAAGCTAATAGATGTCGACCACTATGCCAAGGAAGAAGTAGCAGCTCGTATGAATGAGGTCATCAGTTTGTGGAAGAAACTTCTAGAGGCCACAGAACTGAAAGGTATGAAAAAATAGATAGAAAAGTGTTTGGTGATAGGAGCGTTTGGGAAACTAAACACTACTCTCTGTCTCAGCATTCTAGAACCAGACACCAGCCAGGAAAGGTGGAGTGACAGTTTGTTGTTAAGGGTTGTTTGCTAAATAGGGGTTACTTGACTTGAGTTCTCAATAATCTGACCAGTTTGTAAGTGTGATGGATGGTTTGTTGGAGAGAATAAAAAGAATGAACTGAGCCTTCTCACCTAAAATCACAGATTAGCTGTGTACTAGAAGTGGTATCTCATGGAATTAAAAACGCTTCCCAGACAACCTCTAGTTGAGCCTGTAGAATGTAGAGCAGAGATCATACTAGAGATTTTTCATTCCCCTACTCAGTAAAGCTGGATAATGAATAAGAATCTCACCATAATCCTCCACCAGGATACCGTAACTTGTGATCAGTATTAATGGATCACATTATTAAGAAAATTAAGCCCACTTCCTTGAACAGGAATAAAGCTCCGTGAAGCCAACCAGCAGCAGCAATTTAATCGCAATGTTGAGGACATTGAATTGTGGCTGTATGAAGTCGAAGGTCACTTGGCTTCAGATGACTATGGCAAAGACCTCACCAATGTCCAGAACCTCCAGAAGAAGCATGCCCTGCTAGAGGCAGATGTGGCTGCTCACCAGGTGGGATGGGGAATGGGACCTGTGGTGTAGGGCAAGGCAGTGCTGAATGGGAGAGTGATAAATGTTGAACGTTTCAAGATGAGACTCTTAGGGGAGAAATGAAATGTATTACTCTTACAGAACTCCACATGCTACTACTCCAAGTGTTTTCCCTCAGTGCTCTCTAGGAGCACTCTAGGAAGGTCATGGCAGAACAAATATTCTCAGAGTAGGACAGGCACCATGTTAACTTTCCTTGGTGTCTGATGAATCCTCATCCCAAGTAATAGGCTGGAGGTGTGCAGAACAGAGTCTCTGGGAATTGTTTCCAGTTTTCAAACCTTAGCCTCCTGTTCCCAGGATCGAATTGATGGCATCACAATTCAGGCCCGCCAGTTCCAAGATGCTGGCCATTTTGATGCTGAAAACATTAAGAAGAAGCAAGAGGCCCTTGTGGCTCGCTATGAGGCTCTCAAAGAACCCATGGTGGCCCGGAAGCAGAAGCTGGCAGATTCTCTTCGTCTGCAGCAGCTCTTCCGAGATGTGGAGGATGAGGAAACCTGGATTCGAGAAAAGGAGCCTATTGCTGCATCCACTAATAGAGGTTAGTCTATCTGCCCCAGGCAGAACCATGCCACTGCAGCATCCCATAGCATACAGGAGATATATCAGAGGGAGTGAGATGAAGTTTAAATCCCTGTACTGCCACACTGGTGGGAGTCCATACTGTCAATTCAATGCCAGTTGATAAGAGAATGTGTTTTGCTTTTAGGCAAAGATCTAATTGGAGTCCAGAATCTGCTAAAGAAACATCAAGCCTTACAAGCAGAAATTGCTGGGCACGAGCCCCGCATCAAAGCAGTGACACAGAAGGGAAATGCTATGGTAGAAGAAGGTGAGTGAGTGTACTCAGTGCCTGGACCTGGGCCCAGCCAGCGAGGCCAAGGCTGAGTTCCCTTCTCATTCTGTTATGTGAGTTTTGCCATCATATCAGGGGTACTTCTCACCATCATTCCTCCAGGCCATTTTGCTGCAGAGGATGTGAAGGCAAAACTGAGTGAGCTCAACCAGAAATGGGAGGCACTGAAAGCCAAAGCCTCCCAGCGGAGGCAAGATCTGGAGGACTCACTGCAGGCGCAGCAGTACTTTGCCGATGCCAACGAGGCTGAATCTTGGATGCGGGAGAAGGAGCCTATTGTGGGCAGTACCGACTACGGGAAGGATGAGGACTCTGCCGAGGTAGCTCAAACCTGGGCATCACATGTACATGGGAAATGGGCCCAGCCTTAGAGTAGAAAGCAAGATAGCGGAAAAGGGAAAGTATCCTGCAGCTGCTTTTTAAGGTGTTTAGGAATGTTTTTTATTTTGGAAGTTCAGAATCAAAGAAAAAATTGCCTGTCACCCAGCTTCAACTGTTAAGTCTCATTTATTCTCTATCATGTGCTTGCAGACATGTAGCAGACCAGCTTATACAAGCACGCCAGGACTGACACCCATGTGAACTTAGCAGTGCATGTATATGAAACACTTAATACATACACCAACACACATGTACTCTTTTTGCTAATCATCTGTTGTTTTACTGTAACTCTCATGTTTGATTCGCGAAGGTCTGAGACAGTTGTCTCCAGACCTCCCCCTTGACAGTCTTGTCACAAACGGAGTGAGAGCTGGGGCTGCTGCTCAGTGGTAAATACTGCTGTGGCGTGCATGCAGTTCTAGATTCCATTTCTAGTACCAAAACCTTCCTAGGTAAGTCGGCACGTAGACAGTATTTTCCTTAAGAATAGAACCAAAATTGTTGGAAGTGGTGTTAATGGGAAGCTACAAAGTAGCCTTGTAAAGAGGAATTCTCAAATGTGTGAGATAACTGTTGTTTGTGTGTCTGTATATTTCATTTACTTTGTAACTAGGTACTAAAATGGGAAAGAAAGAGATTGTAACTCAGCAGTATCTCTTCTCTGAAATTAAGAGGAAAAAGAGATAGACTGGCAAGATGGCTCAGTGGGAAAAGGAACTTGTGCCAAGCCTGTTGACCTGTGTTCAGTACTCATCTTCATACAGTAGAATCAGAAAACTGACTTCTGCAAGTTGTCCTCTGACCTCCATGCATGTGTCATAGTGTATGCACACACACACAAAATAAGTATAAGCCAACACGAATGGGTAAAACTCCACAAGGTTCTATCCAACATGCAGTGGCTGAGAGGAAAATCAGTTTCCTCCTGAGAGAAGCTTCCAGGTCTGTTGTCTAGTCTCAAGTGGTCAGCCCTGGACACAAACACGTGTGTGCAACAATGAATGTTCTCAGTAGGGTGTATGTGTGAGAGAGACACACACAATAGTAATTGTAGAAAAGGAGGTCATGAAATCAGAGGAAAGTCTGGAAGTAGTTGAAGCAGAGAGGGGGAGGAGAGATATAGATGAAATACTTGTATATGATCTCAAAATTTAAAATTAAAAAGTAAATATACAAAATTTAAAAAATAAATATACAAAATGTAAAAAAAATTAGGAGTGTTAAGAACAACTAGCAGTCATATTTTCTTTTGGCACCAGGCCTTTGAATAAGGTTCCATGTATATGGTTTCAGGCTCTGCTCAAGAAGCATGAAGCTTTGATGTCTGATCTCAGCGCCTATGGCAGCAGCATCCAGGCTTTACGCGAACAGGCCCAGTCATGCCGGGTAAGTAGTGCTGAGGAACCAGGATGGGGAAGGAAAATTGACAGACATTTTAGACTGTGGTCAATATTCTTTGGTTTGGGTTTGTTTGTTTGTGGCAGGGTCTCAGTATGTAGACTGGCTCCAAACTTGAGTAAATCACATGCTTCTACTTTAATTGCTTGAGTGCCATTTTTTAAGGCTATACCACCATACCTAAGGGAAGCATCCTTCTCACACAAAGGCCTACAGTCAGGCACATTTAATTGAGGAGAGTTTTTGTTTGATTAATTTGTTTTAATGCTCAACAGCTTGAACAAATCTTTTTTGGTAGCTTCAGTAAAGAACTATCAAGGAGCTTGGGTGTCTTGGCACAAACCATTAATCCCAGCACTGGGGGCAGAGACAGATCTCCAAGATGAGTTCAGGGCCAGTTTGGCTTATGTAGTTCCAAGTACTAAAGCAGATTGGCTCTTTACAATGTTCTTGTTAAGTTTCAGGGCCACACACAGTCAAAAAAAAGACAAAAAGAGAACTCTCAAGTGTGTATTTAATGTCCCTGTTGAAATTGGACTCCTGTGTGCTTGGTGATTCGTTATGAGTGGCATTTAATCATTTTGTCTTTCCTTTGACTTGTTAGCAACAAGTGGCCCCCATGGATGATGAGACTGGGAAGGAGCTGGTCTTGGCTCTCTACGACTATCAGGAGAAGAGCCCTCGTGAGGTTACCATGAAGAAAGGGGACATCCTCACTTTGCTCAACAGCACCAACAAGGCAAGGCACAGGGTGGCCAAGGTTGGGTACATCAGCACCGTGGAGTATGCTCTCTGCCGTATGTCCTTGGGTAGAATGGAAAGAGAGAAGAGGGTTATTTTATTAAACTCACAAGTCACTCTTCATTTATCCAGAGCCATATATGACTAGGGAAGTACTAGATCAATTCTCTTGAGTCTGTCATATGCAGATAGTGCAAGAGTCACCTACAGGATCTTCACAATCAAGTGTCCCTGGGTGAACACTCTCCCTTCTGAGCCGTGGTGTGTTTACTTCATAACTTGCACCGTTTGTGGTGGTTGTTTATGGTGCTAGCTGTGGAAGATAGGGCCTCATGGAGACTGAACAGGCACTGTGTACCACTGAGCCTTTGTCTGTTGGTTACTCATCTAGATTGCATACGGTTGTAGCAAATAATTGAAGGCAGCTGTATGCACTTCATCTTCTTCAAGTTAAATGCTGCTCAGTACATCAGCCTTCCTTCCTTAGCACATGTAGGTATGACACTGTCCGTATAAGGAGGGATATGTTCACCTGCATAATACTTAACTGGTCATAAGGAATCCTGCCTCCAATCTTAGTTACGGTCAAAGAACTGTTCTGCCCATTACTAGGAAACTGTAACCCCATCCTGAATGAATAAGAAAACTCATGAGTCTTATCTGTTATTGTTACTCTCTTTTTTAAAATATGTAGCCCAAGTTGACCTTGAACTCATGATCCTCCTACCTCTGCCTTCTTCAGTAAATCCTACCAGCATGCGCCACCACAAACGGCTGTTACTGCTGTTTAACTGAAATCTAACTCTCTAGTCCACCTAGTTTGTACAAGAGCTATGTCACATTGCCATGCATTTTAAGGTGAGGTTGAAAATGTGTCTGCACATATGGCAGATACTTGAATTACAGTTAGTGTAACTGAAATTCTTGATGAGTTTGGTTCCAACGTACAAAAGTTAAATAGGTCTGTGTTGCTAGTGGCTGTAGTGTTGAACTAACTGCACAAGGGAAGACTGACCTCCATAGTTAACTGCATCTTTAACCTGTACCCTTCCGTGTGTGGCAGTACAGAGACTTTAATTTGTCATAGGCTTGAAATAATAAAGCTCCTTTGGACAACTGCTACACACATATACAAATAGGCCAGTATATTAGGGATGGAAATCTGACGTGCTCTCCTGGCCTCCTTGAGCATACATGCGAGCACACACAGAGGCACAAAATTAAAAAATGAAAAAACAGGCCAGTGTGACCTGTCTTTGGGAAAAGGATGTGCTTTCATTCCTCTTTTTTTCTCTTAGGACTGGTGGAAAGTGGAAGTGAACGATCGTCAGGGTTTTGTGCCAGCTGCATATGTGAAGAAGCTGGACCCCGCCCAGTCAGCCTCGAGGGAGAACCTCCTGGAAGAACAGGGCAGCATTGCGCTGCGGCAGGGGCAGATCGACAACCAGTAAGGGCTTGCGCACACAATACAGGCTAGACAGCACTCAAGTCAGTTACAGCCAGGACTTGGGGTCTCTGGAGCCCTCTGTACTCTCTCTTTTTCCCTTGAGTCTCCTAACCCATAAACTTCCCTGTTAGGCCCAAATTCTTGACTAATACAATCTCACTTATTTTTTTCCTGTGCTTCTGAGGTGCTTTTTCTAAACCACATTTTACTACTTTATATAATGTTCGCCTTTGTCTTGTAGTCAAGATTCTTTTTGGGTTGGATTTTCGGATATCTTACCCCCCTTGGCTCTGCCTCCCTTTGGACAGCTGCCTAGAGAGCTGCTCTCTTTTCCATAGCTTTGTGTTCAGAGATTGCAATTTATTTTTTAAGCTTGTTTTCTCCTCATGATATAGATGAGCCCCATATTGTACTACATGTCTGTCCTGTAGTGCATACCTTACTCTACTAATGAAGTCAACAACTTTGGGCACCTGGGAAGTACCCAGGAAGTATATTTCTAAGTCCAGTAGGGCTTAGAGTAAGAGCTTTTCTGACTTAATGATCTTGAAATGACAGGAACCATTTGTACACTTACAAATTCTTTCACTGTTACTACACAGACAAGGAGACCCTTGGGCTTGTGTTTTTCTCACAGTCACAGACCTGGGTCAAAAAAGAGCACAAATGTTGGTGGAGATAGTGTTCTGAACTGGCTATTAGAATCAGCACTGTCCTTCAAGTCTGTTTTGTCCCCTGGCCTTGCTCTCTGCAGCTAAGTGTTTGCAGTACAGGGAACGTTGCCTTAAGTGTAGCAGACTTGTGAGGAACATGAAGGTAAACTAACCCTCTCATTTAATTTTCCTACTGTTTCTCCACTGATTTTATTCATGGCTTGGGCTGCTTCTAAGTGCTTTTGAATGATTCCTAAGTTTTTCCCACTTCAAGCATCCGCCATCGTGGCACCAGTCGGAGCTGCTGCTTTTCATTCCTGTGGATTAATCCCACTAATGTGTGCATGCTTTTGCTGTACCCCCTCTGTGCAGGACACGCATAACTAAGGAGGCCGGCAGTGTATCTCTGCGTATGAAACAGGTGGAAGAACTGTGAGTAGGCTGAGAGCCTCGCTGAGCTCCCCATGTCCACTGCTGCACCTGTCCATTCTCCCTCTGCCGCTTTCCTACAGAGCACTGTCTGTTGAGAAGAAGGTGGTGCAGGGGACCTGCCACATCTGTAGCACGGCTCTGCTGACTGTTAGAGAGCTGCCAGTGGAATTGCTCTCCTTGGTTGCTTCCGCCTGCTTGTGTTTGGAATGCTGTTGGCTTACTCTAGTTTTGTGATAGAGCCTGAGCCATCTCTGTCCTCTGTGAACCTGCAACCGGTTTTGTCATTTTCTTCAGTAGGGAGGAAGTGAAGTGCTGCTTAGAGGTTGAGGGCTCTGACTTCTGGTGACATAGTACTTTTTTATTTATTTGGGAAGCTTAGATTTCGTGATGATTTTCAGATTTTTCCTTAACTTTGAATTTCATTTCTTACTCAGATCTGTTGTTTTTATGTCTGTAAAGATAGTGGCAGCTCAGCATTTTTTGATCTTAGTTCTCACGGGCTAGAAAATTCTTTGATTCTTCTTAGGTCTTGCAGCTGGTGCTACGCACCTGAATTCTTTCAGTCACTTGCTCAGAAATACACAGCTCACTATGGAAATGTCCTGCTGGCAGAGATGGAGCATCCTGTATTAGACTGTGTTAAAAAAAACTCATTATCTTTCCCCACTTAGGGGCTGCTCAGAGAATTATAAAAATCAAAAAAAATCCCTTTTATACATTATGTAGTTTCATCTTTATGTAGCTTCATCTCATCTCTCCAATGTAGTCGCATGAACCTTTTGTTTCTGTGCTAAGTGCTTGGTTTCAGGCTTCTGTGGTCATAATAATTGGAAAATTGGCCCGGAGATAAGTGTGCCCAGCCAGGTATGACCAGTGTACTGTGCGCTTATCCATGAAGCTGTGGTTAGTTAGTATCCTCATCTTTGTGTGCTCTGATCCTTTGTTGGGCCTTTGTTGCTAGGCATTGTCATTACAAACTCATGCCTTGGATCACACCTTAGATGACTCGTGGTTGTCCTGTGTTGGCATCTTTGGTTTCTTGCCCATTTTGTCACCCTCTTGACTTCTGTCAGATATCAGTCTCTGCTGGAACTGGGTGAGAAGCGGAAAGGCATGTTGGAGAAGAGTTGTAAGAAGTTCATGTTGTTCCGGGAAGCAAATGAGCTGCAGCAGTGGATCAATGAGAAAGAAGCCGCTCTAACGAGTGAAGAGGTTGGCGCAGACCTGGAGCAGGTTGAGGTGCTGCAGAAGAAGTTTGATGACTTCCAGAAGGTATAAGAAGCTTGCAGCATGGCTGCAAAGTTGTGTAAATATGTAGTTCTTGGGTCTGGAGGCATGGCTCAACAGTTAAGAGCACCCAGAGGAGCCAAGTTCCATTCCCAGCATCCACCTAGTGGCTTACAACCATCTATACCTCCAGTTTGCTTCCTCCACAGATACCAGGCACAAACTTGGTACATTAACACACATGAAGGCAAAACAATATACACATGAAATTAATAATTTGAAATCTTTTTAAGGAGCTGTAGTAATGGCTTACAGGTTAAGAGCACCGACTACTCTTGCAGAGGACTCAGGTTTGATTCCCCACACCCACATGTTCGCTTACAACTGTCTATAACTCATACAGTACACAGACATATAACTAAGTGAGTCAAGTTAAAAACCAGCTTAGCATTTAAATTTTTTGTTTTGTTTTGTTTTTTGAGACACTGGTCCTCTGTGTGGCTCTTAGGTGTCCTGGAACTCAATTTATAGATTGGGCTGACCTCAAACTCAATTTTTAGATTGCGCTGACCTCAAACTCACAGAGATTCGCCTGTTTCTGCCTCCTGAGTGCTCAGATTAAAGGTGTGAGCCACAGTTGCGTGACTTTTAAGTATATATATTTAGTATATTTATTCATTGTGTATGTATATATTTAAATACATTTATTTATTATGTATTTATATGTACAGTGCTGTTTCCACGCATGCCTGTACACTAGAAGAGGATATCAGTGGGTGTTGTGAACTGTCATGTGGTTGCTGGAAATTGAACTCAGGACATCTAGAAGAGCAGTCAATATGCTTAGCCTTAAATACCTCTCCAGCCGTGTGTGTGTGTGTGTGTGTGTGTGTGTGTATAAAAGTGGTTCTCTCCGGGGCAGTGGTGGTGCACGCATTTAATCCCATCACTGGGAGACAGAGACAGGTGAATCTCTGTGAGTTCAGGCTGTCTTGGTCTAAGCCCAGGACAGCCAGGGCTGTTACATAGAGAGACCCTATCCCCAAAAACGGGATGGGTTGGGAGGGCAGATTAGTTCTTAGGGCGTGAGAGGGCTCATTGGGCTAAGGCATTTTCCACCAAGCCTGAGTTTATTCTGTCAATCTCTAGGACCACTTGGTGACTGGAGAGAACCAACTTGTCCTTAATCTCATACATATACTGTTGCACACTTACCCTCACTACACACAGAAAAAAAAACCAAAAAAAAAACAAAAATAGTTTTAAATAGTTGGTTCTCTTGGGTCTGACCACAGATTACTGAAGTGAAGATAACATGGATTGTGCAGTCTGTGTGACTTAGAGTTTACTCTCTGTAGCTTCCGTGTTTCTCCAGTGCTGGAGACTTAAAAGTGTCATCCCCCTTCCCCTGACTTGCTGTTGTGTATTTAATGATTGTGATTTTACCTTAAAGGATCTGAAAGCCAATGAGTCTCGACTGAAGGACATTAACAAAGTAGCTGAAGACCTGGAGTCTGAAGGTCTGATGGCGGAGGAGGTACAAGCTGTACAACAGCAGGTGGGTGTTTTAACCTTAGCCCCAGAGGTCACTTTCTTTTTTCTTTTTCTTCCCCCTTGTTGTTGGGATTAAAGGTGCACACTACCACTGCCTGGCAGAGGCCACGCCATGTTATATAACACAGATTTGAGGCCAGTGTAGTTCACACTTCATCCTATACTCCCAAGCCCATGAAGAACTGTGGAAGTTAAATGTCTTTGGTGCCATTGACTCCACATTCTTTTTGTTGGTTTTTGGTTTTTGATTTAAGATTTATTTATTTATGTGTTGTGTTCTGCCTCCTGCAGAGGGCACCAGATCTCATTACAGACGGTTGTGAGCCACCATATGGGTGCTGGGAATTGAACTCAGGGCCTCTGGAAGAGCAGCTAGTGCCCTTAACCACTGAACCTTTGTTCCCGCCCCATTTTTGTTGGTTATTTATTTATTTATTTATTTATTTGAGACAAGTTTTGTCTGTATAGCCCTAGCTGTCCTGGAACTAGTTTTGTAGACCAGGCTGGCCTTGAACTC